GAAATACATTTTGGAGCGTGGTGGAAACTAGGATAACGAAAAAGGAAATACATAGGAAATAGGAAATACATAGGAAATAGAATGCATAGGAAATACATAGGAAATACATAGGAGCGTTGTGAAATGCATAGGAAATAGGAAATACATAGGAAACCCAGTTGTGGAAACTATCACAACCACCTCGAGACCACATCAGACAAGATGCATAGGAAATAGAATGCATATCACAAATGGTTTTGGGGCATAATTGTCTACAAAAGAGGATAACGAAAAAGGGGGTGTAGCCAACACCCTCATGAGACATGTGTCGGGAAAGGGGAGAAGGCCTAAGTACAACAGTTCCTTGTGGAGCGTGGTGAATCCCCACAAACATAAGTGGCAAAAATCATCATGATGGACATAACCAGTAGAAGATCAACACAATCCCAAACTTCTAAGAATGATTGCTAGATAGACAAGCAACCAGGGAACTGATGTAACGGTTTCTGGTCACGTATCATTTTTTTTTGGCTAAGTACCTCGTCATCCCGTCTGTTCCTAAGTGGCCAGTGACTCAGAGGCTGAAGTAGAGCTCCCTAGTGTAGTGCAACCCGGCTGCTCCCTGCAGGAGATGATCTGCTCATCTTTGTAGACGATGGGAACTGGTTGCCTGCAAGAACTGAATCAGAGAACCCGGGGTGGCTTACCCGGCGGGGATACTCTGATGGCTAAGTCAGCACTCAATAGTGAGCTAAAAATGATATTAGAGAATGAGAGAGCTAGAGGGCAGAGATCACCCTTCTCTTTTTTGCATACCTTCGCCCCTGAGGTCTTTATATACTGGAGTCCTCGTGGGTTTGGTGGAGCAGGTCCTGGATTCCCGCTGTGATGGGACCTGCTTTCGTGTTAGGTGGGGATAAAGCCACCAACCGGTAGGTTGCCCATCTCCGCCTGAATCGGGGAGTGGATGAGCTAATATAGCCGTTACAAGTCATAATCCCGTAAAATGCGGGGTACGGTGGTGAGCTCCTCGGGGTTGTCATGTGGTGGTCAGTCTGACTAGGAAGCGAGCTGTCTGTAAGGTGCCAAGCTGCATGGTGGCGAGCTGCCTGTAAGTGTTGCATGGTGGCGAGCTGCCTGTGAGTGTTGCATGGTGGCGAGCTACCTGTAAGTGCTGAGCTGTTTGGGTGGCGAGTTGCCTAGTGGCGAGCTACCTGTGAGGTGCCAGGCTAACCAGGTGTTGGGTTGCCTGTGAGGTGTCAGGCTGACTGTGACGAGCTGCCTGTAAGTGCCCTTGGTGGCGAGCTTCCTATTGCCTGCGAGTGCTGCATGGTGACGAGCTGCCTGTAAGTGGCGAGGTGCCAGGTGTCATAATGTCATTGGAGGGCCAAATCCACCCTCATCAGGAACCTTCTAAGAATAAGAGATTTTGTAGTTTTTCAAGTGCAAAAAATAACCATATATAAATACCCAACCATATGAAGGGAGGATGAGATGAACATTACCATCCTTTCGTCCTTCAAACATATCTCCTTAGTGTCGTAACCTACCTACCCACATTCGGAATCTTTGGTTCCCTATTTGATCACAAAAATGACATATAGAACAGGGAGAGTTCCAATGGAAAAGCAACCTTCCCCTAATCATCCAATATCCAATGGAGGATTCGTTACAAGATACTAAACCTCAATACGAGTACGAGGATAGGGCAATGTATAAATCCTCACCGACAAGGTTTATGGCATCAACATCTGAGTCAATCGCATTTAGAACAAGCTAGAGGGCATCATCGCCACCCTCCAAAAAATTAAGAAAATTGAAAAGCTCGAGGAAAAGCAAGATGAGATGAAAGAGATGATCCATCAACTTTATCAATGGTAGAAAGGTGAGACATTCCATCACTCCACCCCTGGTCACCCAAGTAGACCCAAGATGACAACGTCAAACATGGCAACAACACCATTTCCATTGCCAAATCCGTTACAAGTTCCTTTAGCAACAAATTGCACACCCCCTTTGGACTAGGTGAATCATGTTCAACTGCCCTTTCTAGCAATTAGGTAAGAGAAATTGTACAATTACATCCAGACTATATAGGAGGCAAACTTACCATATGAGTTACAACCCACCACAAAGTGGCACCTATATGATGGTTGGTTAAGGAGTTTGCAAGAATACATTAGCAAGTTTGATGACCTACTCGGACCATTTGCCCTTGATGGAGACCTAAAGGTGAGGGAACTTTATGAATCATTGACCACTTTAGCTTATACCTGGTTTGTTAACCTTGCGTCAAGAAGCATCGATTCATGGGATGAGCTAGTCAAGAAGTTAGTGAGAAAGTGTTTTGTAATAGAGAGAAGATTAATGGTGGCAAACCTTTGAAACATGGAATAGAGGGCCCTAGTATAGGGGAATGTTAGAGAACTTGGGACTCTAGAGCTTTTTCAAGCTTTGGGAATGCATAAAGCAAACTACAAAGACAATCAAATAGCTAGACCTCAATAAAAGGTGGTTGTTATAAAGCAAATTGCAAGACCATGAATCTTTTGCCATCGATAGGAGATCCCACCCACAACATCATGGAATGCTTTACCTTATGTCGATATTCCAAGCAAAGGTCAAGCTTGACGACTACATACATAGGAAGCCTACAGGGGTTGAGAACAACTTGTTGCCTAACTACACTAAAGGGGGGAGTGTGAACATAGTCATGGTAGTCAACTACTAGTTTGTGTTTCTTAACACATTAGTGTTGCAGCTTCAACAGAGTGAAGATCTGGTTGAAGTTCTTCTAGAAATAGGGAGTAGATGTGGTGATACAACAATTGACAATAAGGGCATTGGTTGAGATTTTTAGAAACCCAAGTAAGTATCATAGCATGTGCAAGTGATCGAATACTTTGTAGACAAACATCATCTATTAGGTAGATTGGTGAAGTGGTTGATGCAACTCAATGAGTACACCATTGAATATACCTAACCTAGATCCATAAAGTGCCAGGCAAAAGCTGACATATTAGTAGCTTTGCCAACAAGTGACCCCTTGGAGGCTTCTGAAAGAGATATCAAGAGACCTACCC